TCTGAACCTGTCATTACTGGAGACTGTTATGTGCTCTTTTGTTTCAATGGTAACGCTGAGTTCTAGGAAATATGCAGGCACACTGGAGGGTTCGCATTCAGCAGAGCTCAAACCCCCGGGGCCAATTCTCACCATTGTTTCAGGCTAAAGGGTTATGTAACAGGGAGCTCGGCTGTCTTGGTGCCAAAAAGAAAAGGAGATCTCTGATGGAAACTGGATTAACTTAATTGTGCTACATAGGCTGGATCTGAGTCATAACAGTTTTCTGACATATCACAGAACATGGCAAAGCACATCCTTAAAACAAAAGGTATAACTATACTTAAAGCATATTTTCAAAATGCTTATTCACTTTTTTGCCAAGAGAAGAAAGAAAACACTCCCATATCTGTGTAATGAACATGAAGCTACAGCCAGGAAATAGACAGCTTATCTTGGCACAAAGACTGAAACATGGACACAGCTAGCATTGCTCTGTTGGAAGCACTTGAATATTCAAGCAAAAACTGATGCAAAAACTACAAGATGTGAAGACAGGTGCCAGACTACTTTTGGTAGCCTAACTCGGACCTTGCTACTTGAGGTGAATTAGGTATATCTGGTAAATTTTGGTGGATTTTTTCTGTCGATTACCAAGAAAACCACCTAAAATTCTGAAAACTACCTTAATATTGTTACTTTTAGACTGTGTTATGGATCTCTGTTATATTTCTATAAGGTTTCTATCAGGAAAGGCAACATCACAGACAAGTATAACCTCATACAAGGTGAGGTCATTCCATCCATCAAGGATAATCCCATCAAGTGTCTGGGAAAGTGGTATGACGAGTCACTGAAGGACAGAAACACCGTCCACAGCACTGAGAAGCTAGCCTGAGTGTCAGATTGAAGCTCCCAGAACCTTCAGTCTGACATCACCTCCATTGAAGGCGATTTACAAGGGGGAGGGAATTTGATTTGTCCCTAACCAATCAGTAGAGATCAACGACTCACCCAGAATCTGACGTCATTAGTATCCATGCCTCGGGGGTGCCGAAAACAAGCGAGCATTGCCCGTTTAAAATGTCTCCGTTGTCGTGCACGCCCAGCTGCATCGCCGTTAATCCAGTTTAGCAGCTTCCTTAATTTGGTCCTCCATTAACGCGAGTAGTTGCGAAATACCTCGATAGCATTGTTAATGTGGTCTGCAGGATCTGTAGCGGTCGCCATTGTTGCTATCCTCACCAGTTACCCACCGCCGTACAGCTTGACTTCAGCATGGCGCTGATTGGCTAATCACTAGACCCGCCCCCACCCCCGGCATTCATTGGTCCTTCCATCATTTGGACGAGATAAATTGCAAATTCATTGCAGTATGCCAGACCAGAGATGCAAGCCTACTCAGTTGAGTGGGCGGGGTCTATGGTCTGGAACCAGGCTACTGAGAAGCAAGTGGAGTGATGGTTGAAGAACATCGAAAAATCTGGACTCCCTGGAAAGTTTAGGGCATGGCCATACCAACACGGCCTGCTTCCCAGACTGATGTGGCTGATGACGGTGTACAAAGTCCCATTAACAGCAATGGAAGGAGTGGAGCGAAAGATCAACGAGCACCTTAGGAGGTGGCTTGGAGTCCCTCCAAGTTTCACATCAATCGGGCTGTACATCAGATCTGGGCAACTACAACTACCTCTGTCATCCCTCGTTGAGGAATTCAGGGTGGCAAAGTGCAGGGTTGCCATAAGCTTTAGGGACTCAAGAGACAACAAGGTCCGGGAAGCGGGGATAAAGACCATGTCAGGATGGAAATGGGAGGCCTCTACAGCACTGGCCCAAGCGGAAGGAAATCTCAAGCTCAAAGACATCATCGGAGCACCCTGCACAGGCAGGCAAGGTCTGGGGATGACCCACTTTCAAAAGTGGAGAAAAGCCAACCCAAGGGAGAGGCGAACCATGGTCCAGGCAGAAATAAGGAACCTAGAAGAAGAGCAGAGGAAGGCGGGAGTGGTGGAGCTAGGATCCTAGCGAGCCTGGACAAGGTGGGACCTCCCAAAGAGGAAGCTGACATGGCAGACCTATGGAGACTCAAGCCATTCCGGATCTCCTTCTTCCTTAGGGCCGTCTATGACACCCTACCAACCCCTGTGAACCTGCACAGATGGGGCATGAGAGACGACCCAATGTGCAAGCTCTGTGGGAAAAACGGGACCATGGCACACATCCTGTCAGGCTGCAACATCGCTCTGTCCCAAGGCAGATACAGGTGGCGCCATGACAAAGTGTTAGCCGTGCTCGCTGAAGTTGTTGACAGCAGTGGGACTGACAGGAAGTGAGAGGAAGAAGGCGGTACGAAGACTGGGGGAGGTGGCAGAGAGAGCCTCGTGTTGGATATGGAGCAGGAGGGAGGAGGCAAGCTGGCAGCCGGAAGGGAGTGAGTAGTGGCTGGCCACCACTGCTGACCCGCCAGCAGGAGGGTGTTATGTTTAAGGGTCGAAACACCCAGTGAGTGCTGGTAACCATCTGACGACACAACCTCCTGGCTAAAGGCTGCAGTCATTATGTAATGACGTAGAGGAGAAGCATCACAAGATGTACGTAAACACAACAACTCTCCAAAAACTGAAGTGTTGGAACTCAAAGTTGTGATGTCACAGGGTATAAGTCTGAAAGTGCTCTGTACACAATGAATGATTAAAGGGCTGTACACATGCCGCGTTTTTTTGTGCCTTCATATTCATTGTTTTTAATGTACACATGCAGCAGGCGCACTCAAACACCAGAGCGATGCCATTGCGGCACGCACGTGTTCCTGAGCATCTGTTTTTCAGGGCACGATGGATGCACCCTCAGATAAACCAGTCACAGCTGTCAGATATCTTTCCCTTCTTCCATAAAATATCAGACTGTGGTAAATATGGAGCAGTTGGTCATTTTAGTACAAGGCTACCCAGAGCTTTACATGTGCCCCACAGACAATATGTTGGGCCTACACAATTTAAGAACAGCCCCTTGAAGAAGATCAGCTCTGCACTCAGGATATGTCTTGATGTTTGTATTGTAGTGTAGCGGTATGTGGATTGTAGTATGTGGATTGTGTTTTATGTATTTTATTGTGGTTTTATACTGTTTAAAACTGTACATTTTTAATAACATTTCAAGTCAACATGTAAAAGCCCAACTGAGCCTACTTGACCCCAATAAATAGCAAGTTACAGGAAAATTTCCGGACAAATAGATTTAAATTCTTCTCCCATTTTCTAGACCTCTCAGAAAAAGTCATCTTTTCCATCTTATAAAGACCTCCTTGATTATGTCCATCCATTGTGAAAGAACATGACCACATTTCAACAATACCAGCATAAATCTGTACACACACTCTGCAAACACAGCCCACACCATTCAGGCTCTTGTGGAAACATGCCCCACTTTTTACATAGGAGATCAGTCCTCCGTGGCCTCGTGGTCACTTTTATCTTCATAAGAAATTTTGCAGGAATGCCCATGTATTTGTTTTCCAGTAATCTTGATTTTTGCTGGAATTTTAAAATTGAGTGTATGTAATTAATGTACTCAGCTCTGACTATGAGGTGGAGGGTCTCTCTGTCTCTGTAGTACAGTATGGCAGTGGAGTATTGGGGGGGGGAGGCTCCCCTGAGCAGATTCACTGACAAAGAATGTTGCAGGAGTTCACACCCACACAGTCAGAATAACTCACTCTGCTTTTCTCTCTTTTACTACAAATGTTCCCATTTAAATGCTACTTAAAGTCACTTTTTCCACTTTGCAGCCACAGAGGAATCAGACTGTTCAACTCCTGAGCTTGCAGGAGGTTTGTCAGTAATTGTATAAAATCCATTTGCACATGAACACATCATGAAACAACTGTCTTTACAACTGCAGCCTGATCAGCTGTTTCATGTTCACACATCTGACAGGGTTAAAGCGGTTTGAGTCAAAGCTGTCTGTCGTAGTTTTTTCCTTTTAGTCTTTATATATAAAAAGCACCTTCTTCCTCCTTATTCACCCGGTGTCTACAAAGCTACAGGCACAACAGTGTTTCCGGTGTCACTCACCAAAATAAAACACTCACTGACGTTTCATAACCTTCATAACCAGGCACAATGGTGCAGGTTATTGCCACTGAAGGTGAGCAATATATTTAAATCCTGGAGATGGATGAGTCTACTGTTTAGTCATATAACCCAGGCTAATTACAGGCTGTATTAACTTATTAATTATGTGTTATTCTTGTGTATTTTCTTATTGCAATTTTTCAATTATTATTGTTGTAATTTCTACTTCTCTATTTATCTGTACTTATTTCTGTCTGTGCTGCAACAACACCTGAGTTTCTCTAGGGATTAATAAAGGCCTACCTTTTCAAAAAAAAGAAAGAAAAAAAAATTTAAATAAATAAATAAATGAATAAAATAATTAATCATAGTAATGATAATAATAAAAATGAAATAGAAAAAAATAAATGTAGAATTTAAATTTTAAAAATAGTTTTAGATTTTTTTTCACTTGTTTATGCTTTTATTTTCCAAAAAATTGTTTACTATATTTCACTAATTCCAATCTGCATGTATTTATGGTGCTCATGTTGTTTTTCTGTTTCTAATTACTGTTTTATTGCTGTTACTTTTTTTGCAATAAATAAAATAAAATAATATAATAAAATCAAATAAAAAGATGAACAAATAAAAGAAAAGTAAGAATGAAGATTAGAAAACCAACAACAAAAAAAACAAACAACCAGATAATTTCACATCAGGAGTTTCATAAAAATTTTTTGTAATATTCTAAAAATTAAATTCAATTAAATCCAATCAAAAAATATGTAAAGGGGGTTGTGAACCTAAGAACTTCTGTTTATTAATAAACAATTCCCCAGATAAAATAAAGAAATGAACAATAAAGGTCAGAAACTTGTTGCTCATATTTTTCCCTGGGATGGCGCTTTTATTTTGGCACGCTCATCATACTTCCGGTTATATTCAAAGGCCGTTCAGCAGCTTGACGCTGACTTCTCCTTCTCACTTGAGAGCAAGATTCAATCTGTTGAATATTTGTCTCTGCAGACGACAAGACGAGGAGGAGGAGGAGGAAGAGGCCGATTCAGCTGCGGACACTGAAGGAACCAAGGGGTCTCAGTAAGGTGAGTTAAAGCTCAGTAATCAGCTCGGTGTCATGTAAAAGTGATGCGCACCCGGTTTTAGAAAGTTACGCGTGTGTTTCAGGCTGCGGCAGAACTTTACCGGACTGTGTCGGGTTCAGTCGTGAACATTTACAGTAGCAGACACACTGCTGAGTCTAAACCGACACGACCCGGGTCAGTGAAGCCAGATGAAGTCAGTGTGTTGGGGATATTTGACACACAGCTGCATGTTGTCACCAGGGGCGGCTGGAAGACGAAGGGAGGGTGTGTGCAAACATACTGACATTTAAAAAAGGAAGAAAGACAGAAAATTCATGTAGGCCTAATATAAATTAGGCCCTCCGGTTCCAACAACAATTACTTGCTGTATTTCTGAGAATAACTTCAGAAGTCTCAATCTTATTTCTGTGTGATAAATACACCAAATATTTAGCTACTCCTGTTTAAGGTGAAGTGTCACACTGTAAAGACCCAGACAGTAAGCACTTAATTGGCTTAACTCAATTACTGTTACTTGGCATTAAGTGAGGCCTGCTCTATAATGCTCCGCTACTTTATCCACCTCTGGTAAGGACATGCGCACAGTGCTTAGTTTAAGATGAAGAAGAGAAGAAGAAGATATACTTTATTAATTCTAAAAGGGAAGTTCAATTTTTTCACTCTCCTAGTTATTTTGGATGAGTAGGACCTGATAAGTATAATCGCAATGTCCTCAAAAGAAACAATAATAAAGTCCCAGTGTCCTTCAATGAGCTGATGATAAATTCCCAATAGGCCCGTTTCCACTGAAGAAGTTCCTGGTACTATCTGGGGGCAGGAACTACTACAGGAACGTCCTCTCGCTTGGTCCTCTCAACCGCAGCAAGGCTATTCAAGAGAAGGCTGAGACACGGGGTCAAACATGGGGGGAGTGCACATGCGCAGTGTAACTTGAGCTGCAATGCTGGAGAGTGACAGCAGGGGCGCTAGATAAAAAGCGCAGGATCCGCTCAGGCGATCAAGGAGTGCGCTTGGTGCGGTCTGCTTGGACTTTTGGACGGCGGCTGCCTGAAGTTGTCGGAATTGCATCTCTGTCATTCTCACCCACAATGCAGGCCACCAGTGACAGTCCAATAATAAGCTGTGAAAATGACATGCATACACATCCCCTTTATTCCGTGGTCTCACGCCATCTACTGAGCCTTTGAGGAAGTGCGGACCAGATTTTACTGCACATGTGCAATCCCCCCATGTTTGACCCCGTGTTTCAGCCTTCTCTTGAATAGCCTTGTGGAGTAGGAGGAAGGTTCCTGTGAAGTTACGGGGCTCTGTATGTGACGTAATCGTTGCGCGACCATTTTGACCGGGGCGATGTAGGGGCATAGGGACGCCGTTAGCCGTTAGCGGTGTCTGTAATAACTCCGGTCACGGTCTGTGAAAAAAATATTTTTTCCAGTGGATGTCTTAGTTACAACATGATTGAGCTAACTGGAGTAGTTTCATGTCGTATCCGACAACGGGAGGCTTTTAACAGATGACGTCCTGATGTTAGCTTTGCTGCTGCTGTTAGCTGTCCCTGTCAGCTGATGCTTTCTAGACATCGTGATTTCCCAAAACTGAATAAATACCACACATAGCAACACAAAACTGCTTTGCTAGTTCATTCATGTTGTAACTAAGATATCCGCTGGAAAAAATATTGAGCGTTTATTGAGTTATTACAGACACCGCTAACAGCTAACGTTAGCCCAGCTAATCTACGATAACCATGTTATTAATCAGAGCCCTACGGCACTGTTATTAATTACAAAACGTCACATCCCGCCTTGAGTATGTCCAATCAGCACTAAGTAATCCCCAAGCCCCAGCCAGGAGTTTCTCGGGGCCTTTCTGAGTACCTACTCCGAGGCAGGGACTTGTTTAGCCCCTGTAAAAGTTCCGGAACTCTGTCCTTCGGGGGTGGTTCCTGCGGTGGAGACACGCCCCAACAGCCCCGGCCCCGTAAAATTACCCCGAAGTTCCTGCGGTGGAAACGGGCCTAATGTCTTCAAACGAGTACTTTCTAGTTAACAGCGTCTCACCGTTGCTGTGACTGTTGCTATTGTATGGCATATCAAACTATAAGTTATTAATCATAAATAAACAAGTTTCAACTATTAAATGTGGTCAGATTTTGGACCTTGTCCACTTTTGTGTAGGGATCTGCTGCAGACTGACTTGGCAGAGATGATCGTGTTTTTACATGGATTAGTGTATTGTCCTCTTACTACCACTAGATGGCACAAAAAGTGTCCACGATCAAGGACAACAGGTCTTAAGCCCTTTTTAAATAGGAATTGTGCAAATTTGCAGGAAAGCCCATTCAGTCTTTTGTCAGCACTGGCAGTATAAAAACAAAGTCGCGGAGTGCAGCAAAATGCCGCCTACCTACTTTTGCTTATACAGAATGTGCCTTTTTCGGGGCAATGGGGGGCGTGAGCAAGTAACAAAACGTGTAGCTCAGCCTGTGACGTAAACAGTGACATGCCACCAGTCCACACTCCATATTTGGTCCGGACAGGGACTTAAGCAGATGACCCTCCGGTTCCAGACCCAGGTCCCTATGGACAGAGCTACTGCCGCCCCCCATGCTGGATCCTTAATATAGTTTTGTTTGTTTCTTCTATCCTTAACTAAACAAGGCAAAAATAAATATACACATGCAGTTATTAAACTGAACACAGGGGGGAGCATTCATATTGAAGTGCATATAGGTAAGCTCCAGGTAATAAGGATCAGGTGGGGAATGGGGAAGCATGTAGCATCTCACTGACAAAAGTTTACACATTTATATTTGTATGCACTAACTAAACAGATAAGTAATGTTAGCTCAAGAGCTTAGCCAACAACCTGTTTTATACATCTGAAGAACTTCTATAACAATGAACTGCTTGGCAACCAGACCAGGCGTCTAACTGAGACAGGTCTTTATTAGGCATCACAATGTGTAGCTACACTGGGCTAGTAAAAGGGACTGGGCCTTTGATTGAAGTTTTACAATACACAACTAAATGATCTGTCAATTTTTGTTAATGTAAACTCTTAACATCTCTGCAGGGACCCAGCGTTCATCAATCAGCTACTGACAGATATGGCGACCATTGTGATGGAGAAAATCGGGCGAGTGTTCATCACCCTGCAGCAGATCAGGGAGGTTCCCCGGATGCTGACTGAGGCTGCACCCTCCATGCCCGGCACCATAAGAGACATCGATGTTCCCCACTACTTCAGGGAGCGTTACATCGGCACCGGCTACAGACCACTCAACCAGAACTGGCGTTACTACTTCCTGTCTTTATTCCAGCGCCACAATGAGACCATCAACGTCTGGACTCACCTGCTGGCGTTTTTAGTTATTCTGATTAAACTGCGACAGCTCACTGAGACTGTGGACTTTGTAGGTGATCCGCATTCGTGGCCCCTGATGATCCTTATCCTGTCCTCCTTGACCTACTCGGCGTGCAGTGTAATCGCTCACCTGCTGGGTGGAAAGTCTGAGCTCTGTCACTACACCTTCTTCTATCTGGACTATGTAGGAGTAGCACAGTATCAGTACGGCAGTGCGGTAGTTCACTTTTACTATGCTGTGGATGAGGGCTTGCACAGATACATGCATGGGATCTTCATGCCCGTCGCCACCATCCTCAACTGTCTGTCATGCCTGGGATGCTGCTATGGCAAGTACTGCAACCACAACTCACCGCCGTGGGTGCGTAAGGTGTGCCAGGTGGTGCCTTCAGGACTTACCTATATGTGGGACATCAGTCCTGTGGTTAAAAGACTCATGTCATGGTCTACAGCCAGCGATGACCCTGCCCTTATTTACCACTTTGGCCAGGTGGCGTTCTTTCTCAGCTGCACCTTCTTCTTCACCGTCCCTCTGCTGGAGCGCTGCTTCCCAGGGCGGTGCGATTTTGTCGGACAGAGCCATCAGGTGTTCCATGTTCTACTAACGTGCTGCACCCTGTGTCAGATCCATGCCTCATACCTCGACTACGTGGGCCGCAGGCAGCTGTACTCACATCTGCATGGGAGCAATGATGCCACTCTCTTTGTGGGGTTCTACGTGGTCTCTTTGGTCGTATGTGCACTGATAGTTACCTTCATGCTGAGGAAAGTGAAAGAAGTGCTAGACTTGAAAAACAAGTGCAAATAATAGACCAGATGTTGTAGGAACTATATGCAGAAGCATTTATGTGCCTTTCCTTCCAGACTAGGGATAGACCGATATGTATTTTTTAGGGCCGATGCCGATACCAATTTTTTTCCATCACCCTTAGCCGATGACCGATTATGGACTGCTGATTTTCTTGAGCCGATATTTGGGGCCGATACTGCTTTTGCTCCCTCAATTTACATCAAAAAAATGACACGATAACAAATATTACAGGTCTCAAGTTTAAAATAAGAAACATTTATTGAACAGTAAAAAAATACTAAAACAAGATGGAAAGTTGAGGTAGAACAGGTAGAATATTATCATTATTATTATTATTATTATTATACATTCAAATAAAAAAAGAGTTCATTGCTCTTAAATCTTCTAGTAATGTCTTTATAAAATAAACAAATATTTAAGCTGAAGCATAAATAAAACAACAACTACTGTACACAGTAGGATTCGCTGCATGTGCGCTGCAGGGTCTTCCGGCAACACAGAGCTGCCCGTGGATGCCTGTCTGTAAATCATGACAGGGAAAAATAAATCCGCGAACCCACGCACGTATCGGCCAATGCCGATACAAGTAAAAAACTCAAATATCGGCCCGATATATCAGCCGGCCAATGTATCGGTCTATCCTTATTCCAGACTTACTGACCGCTTGATAGAAAGGGAACTAATCGTACCGTATGCGCTGCTGGCTTGTGTTACGTAGATAGCTGCTGAAATTTGAAAATTTCATCACAGCACAGTAAGTAACCTACAAGAGGGATACATATTGATATCCTGAGGTAGTATTTTGGTACTGATTTGTATTGGATCTTTGAAATAATTCACAGTATCATCATTTTTTTCATTTATCAGCAAAGGCTAGTGCTTTTACTCAAGAGTCAAAGTAATCTAAATCACATACTCAAAACTTAAAAGCCACTGCCTACAGTACATAACCATTTATAAGCTCACTGCTGTAACTGATAACAGTGGATGACATGGTCAGATTTGTGAAAAATATGCAAATATTTATTTTACATATTATGAAAGTTACTGACTCTAGTTTTTGTTATTTATGCTGTCGCCATATATTTAACTCAAAATGATGGGGTTTTAAAATGCTAATCATGGAAATGGTTCAAAGGTGATACACCAGTGATACTCAACCCATGGTCTGTGGACCAAATCTGGCCCCTGATAGGGTGTTGGGTTGCCTGCCGACCAGTGTCTAATTCACAAAAAAATAAATTAATTCACACTGAGAATTTTTTTGGACTTTGAATGTAAATAAGGTGCCAGCGTGCATTAAAAACATCAAAATAGAGCTTGTTTCTGAAGAACAAGTGCCAACAAAGGTTTGAGCTACGTCCTGAATTTCCTTAAGTCCCAGAGACACCCTTGTGCACACCTGACCTGTGCAGGGATTTGTTTCTTGGTAAAGATAAGTAAGTCAGCAAATGTTGTCAGGTTAAAAACAGGCAATTCATTTATTACATATACTAACAAATATTAGGGCTGTCAGAGTTAACACGGTCATCACGATGCGATCAATTACCGAACATAATGCGTTATTTTTTAAAAATCGCGTTAATCGCATGCTGCTATTTTGTCACTTCCACGCACCCTTTTTTCCAGGTAAGCTACCACAGCGGCTTCCTGCTGCTGCAGAAATGGAAGATAACGATGGCACTGTGCTTTTTAAAGGCTCATGTTATGTTAACAAATTCCCAGACGGCTCAGTTAAGAAGTCAAAAGTAATTTGCACATTGTGTCAAACAGAATTAAAATATCACCAAAGTACTTTGATTTTGAGCTGCCATCTAGGAGCTGAGCACACAGGTACTCAAACTAAATCGAAGAAGTCAACCACAGTGCTTGCTGAATGGGTGGCAACTGACTGCAAAACAGTCAGCATCAAGAACGTCTCCAGACTGTGGGATGTCCTCAGGTCTGCATGTTGTGACCAGTCATATAAGCTCATACGCTGTCACAGGGAGAAATGGTGTCACACATACAGGACCTGTAAGAATCAGAGAAAGCAACTAAACTGGAACTCCTGTGAATGCTGTCGCGTTAACCGAGGATCATTGGACATCAGTGAGTAATCAGTATTATCTCGGAGTATCAACACACCATATCGGTACTGACTGGATTCACATGTGCTGCATATTTTATACACGCACTCGTGCACATTTCTCAACGTAGAACCTCAAACATTGTACTTCAGAGAATAAGCACTTTGAAGTTGTCTCCGCAGCACTGATTTGAAAGCAATAAATCTAAAAGTCAAGATCATAAAGTCAGTGTATTCGCATTCATTTGATTCCCAATCAAGACATTCTAGTAAGAACTGCTTCACCTGCAAAATATGGACTTCAAAACAGTTTTGAAATGAAAAATAATGAAATGCGATTGAAAATGCGCTAGAAATTTGGCGATTAATCCTGATTTTAAAAATGTATTGTTTGACAGCCCTAATAAATATGGTTAACATTTTGGTGGCCTCCTGTCACTTTGCAAAGTGAGCCCCGGGCCAAGCAACTTGAGTATCTCTCTGATACACTGATCACTGATTGTGGCAGGACTTTTCCTAGCTTAAAAACAACTCCATAAACGAACTTTAGATACTACAATTTAGTAGCTTTTACAAGGTGACAATGTTACACTTAGCCTTTGTCATTGTGCCTTGAGAGACAATTGTTTGGACATTTTATGTAAAATTCAGCACCGAGTTGGTGGTAAGTGAGAATTACCTTGTGATTGTTACTAATGTCCAGCCCTAAACACTATCAGATGATTGTACCGCGTGTAGATTCTTCAGAAACAAAAGCCGTAACATTGAAGTTGCCATCATACATGTAGGTTTGAAATCCTTGAAGACACATGATGACATGTCTGTCATTGCCAGTCTGAGATTTAAATCTTTCGTCGTCTTGCTAGCACAAGTTCTGTTTCACAGCACTGTTAGATATAATTTAATACACTGCCTTTTGACTGTATTTAAGAAAGATGGATTTTTATGAGGGATCTAATTAGTCTTAATAATACTGATGTGTCTTATTTTATACACACAGCGTATACTGTATGTGACGACTGTTGTATGAGGATGTCAGCAATCACTGTATTGTCTTATTGGAAATCTTGATTGTGCCTTATGAGTGGAAGAAGGGAGACGTGAATGTGGGTGTTACATGAGTGTACAGATAAAGGAAGTGTGATATTGTGTGTCTTTGGGTGATAATAAAGACAGTGATTGAGTTAAACAAACATCTCATGGGGACGGAGCAGGTCTGGAGGCAGAAATAATCCTTTTATAAACCGCTTTTCGTTTCATGTGTGCAGCGTTGACTGATGATGTGACATCTTGCCCGCCACTGTATTAAATTCTCACCTCGAGCAGTTCAGATATCAAACATGCCTGGAAATGACGGAGAGGTTCCAGACGGATGGGGAGAACTGGGTCGCATATCAGGAGCATGTTGACCTTTGCACACTGTGCGAGGAACATGTACATGTTATCTTCACTGTTATCTTTAATGTAGCCTACATCCAAACCACCAGAGTATAATGTAGATTACCAGACTGTGTGTTTAATGTTGAAACAGTAAAAGTAACCTCACCTATAGTGTCTGATCGTATGTTGCGCCCTGCCTCTGGTTAATGTTTGAGTAACTGAAACTCGCACTGGGACGAGTTCCACCTTATTGTGTGTGTTGATACTTTATTTCTCTTAATGCACTTTTATTTGCTTAACATCATGTCAAACCTGTCTGATTTCATCACTTATTTTCTTGCTGTTGCCAAATGAAATTAATGTCAACCTAAAGCGTCCTGCTTGTGATGTCCCCAGTCCACCTGTTGCAGGATGACATGAAATGATAGCAGAAAGATGTATGTGTGTAATTTCACTGATAAAAAACCTTTAACATGACAAACTGATTTATTGCTGTCTGTGGAGGATATGTGTTTTATTGCTGTAATCTGTCTTTATGGAGGAAGGGTTGAGAAGTGCAAGGGTACCATGACAATTGTTGATGCAAAGATAGCACGCCAAATCTGACTGCTGTTTCCCAATGGTTAATTGGTCTCCACAGCAACCTGTTAAACAGTGTCCTTCCAAGCAGGGCCTCAGCTGTTATTTACATACTGTACGGATACACTTGACACTGCGATGCTGTGCATGTGTGTTGGTGATTCATGAGCTCAGACTAGTGACTAGAACGAAGTCAACATAAAAACATGCACCTGTAGGCCAAGAAACCAGGAGTAGGATTAGGACTCTATTCAAGGAAGGCTTGTCCTTTGTAATGGAAGAAAAACAAATTTGAGAAATGGAGGAGAAAATTTAATCATTGTACCTATTAGGTGAAAATGTACCCTACTGTCTGTGTCAAGGATCCATCAAACAGAGCCAGTAAAAGAAAGTGATGTCATAGTGGCAGCTGCTACCTCTGACAATGCAGGAGATGTGTGACGTGGAGGCTTTGTGACTGGTTGGCGACCCACTTGGAGTCCTAGACCGACTCCCTATCTGAATTGACAGTGATACCAGGCTTTGCCCTTTGTAGAGCTTAATTAAACGGAACTCTATGACGATTTTCCACCAGCTATGTGCCACTGCAGTGTGTGCAGAAAGAATGTGTGCCACCAGCTCCCTGAGCTCCCAATCCAACTCCAGATCTGCCAGCGCAGGAAGCTGAGTCTGCAAGTGTAGATGCCTGTGATGGCTCTGAAACCCACTGTAAGTATCTTAGACACCAGCTACTCATCCTGTCGGGAATCCATTTTTATTTTTGTGCCTCTGCGCAATCCGCCTGTCCGTCCTTTTGTACGTACATACGTCCCATCCTTGTGAACACGATATCTCAAGAACGCCTCAAGGGAGTTTCTTTATATTTGCAACCAATATTCACTTTGACTGAATAGTGGACTGATAAAATTTTGGGGGTCAAAGGTCGAGGTCAGTGTGACCTTGCATCTGTCTCGTACTAGTGAATACAATATCTCAAGAACACTTTAAGGGAATTTCTTTACATTTAAACGTCCACTTAGACTGACGAATAAACTAATCAGAATTTTGTGGTCGCATGTCAAAGGTCAAGGTCAGTGTGACCTCACAAAATATGTTTTTGGCCAAGAATTCATATGCTAATTAGGTAACAACTTCACACAAATGTCTGATAGGATAAGGTCAACAGAAGGGGAGACATTTGGTCAGACGATGAATTGGTGACACTCATCTCAGCTGTCCACCTTGAAACTGTGCTGATTGTATAGATCTTCTGTGCTGCAGGGGGACAATGGGTGTAAAGCATTCATGTTTTCACAGACATGAATGCAAACTATGAGAGTAATGTGACTGAGGAGGCATACAGCCACGGGGCAGTACTTCTAGTTCATGTTTGCTTTGTTTTTGTTTTGGTTGAAGCCCTGCAGGATGGATGCTCATCAAGCTCATCTGTTTGTCTTCCACTGAGTCTGTTCCTGGCTCCTTGCATTATGCAAGATGAACAAAGGTGACCTTTCTATTGCTCTGTCTGCAGGGTGTGAAGATCTGAACCTTTGAGGCCCTGTAAATGTCTGGATGGTACAGATGATATGGAACAGTCATGGAAAGGCCAGGTAGAGCTTTTAGCCTCAGACTTCAGTTGTTGACTTCTGTAGCACTGAACTGCAGACTGAGTAGCCTTAGAGCCCCCTAATGGTCATGATGGGAACTTGTGTCCCTTCCCAATAACTTTTGCTTTTCATCCAGATCCAAAGGAACAGTTAGTGTGCTGGTTGAGTCCAGTTATATTACAATACCATTGTAGGGAAACACTTACATGGCACATATGAGGGGTGCAGCACAGTGTAAATGTGAGCACACGACTATTTATGCTCACATGCTTACACAGGAGCTACAGGAAAACTGTATGTTGCTGATTCCATCAGCTGTTAGTCCAAAGCACTCCCTCGCCTCAGACACAATTTCTCTATGGAGGGTGTGTGCCAGTAGGTTAATTTCATGGATCCAAACAGCAGCTCAGAAACTGTCCTGGTATTTTTTCTGCTCCTGGTCTCTCTCAGCCTGTTCAGCCTGTCTGTGTTATCCATTAGCTCCTGCTACTGCAAATCTTTCCCTAAGTTTAGCCAACCCTCTAACTTTATTAATGCCACCAGGGACAATTTGTTTTAACATCTTACCTTTAACACAGTCAGATGTCTGTCAGATGAGTGCAGAATCTGGTTTCTATCTGTAATAAGTATCTGTCTAGATTCTGCACTCATCTGACAGGGGCATCATAGTAGGGGGATTACCCAGGGCCCCAATGGGAGAGGGCCCTTGAAAATCCTGGAATGGAAAGTTTAGTTTTGTTTACAGCTTTTTCATTCCTACGTATTTCGTGCCAAAACTAAATTTAAATTGGCTGAATAAATCGGTTGAAAGATTGAACTTTGTAGAATATTTGTGGAGGCTCTCTGAGGTCCCTCTCACACCTTAAAGGCAAAAAAATGGTTTAGTCTGCACCAGGATTTGTCTTTAAATAAACTAAAGCTGAGTGTGTTACTCCATATGCTGCAAGAGCATCAATGCACGCTGTAATATCTTTCCCCCAAGAGAGAGAAATCAGGGTTCCAAAAATGAGAAGAAAGAAAGAAAGCAAAGGGAAAGATCAGCGTGAGTGGGTGCTGAGGGTGCTGCAGCACCCTCAGCACCCACCTTCCGACACCCAGTGCAGGTAGTACTAAAAGCATGTGACATGTCTATACATGCTCATTCCTCCTGACAGTATACAGCCACGTGAACTACAGCTACAGCCGTGGCTGAATCTATGATGGCAGGGATATGGCTATGGCGGCTGCACTGTGACCACTCTTCACTCTGCACTTTACTATTGACTGTCTACTGCATCATACATAATACAATATCATAATACAGCTCAGCCTTGGATCAGAGGAAACACAAAACTTGAGGGAATGCAAAATGCATGTGAGGGAAAACTAAGGTATTGCAGTGATGCAAAACTTGTTGTTGTGTACCTGTACCTCTAACTGTCTGTCAACCAGCACTCTTTGAAGCATTCCAACACTGACATTTACACTGAGACGCCTGCAGGGTAACTGTCTGTTGACAGTGTTCACGCCCATTGGCTTGTCATACTCCAAACATTTGAGCTACTGCCTCTTTATCTCAAGTGTACACATCCAAACCAAAGGGCTTACCTGTGTGTTTATGTTCACTTCGTACTTGATACTTACTTCTGTACAATGCTTCCTATTCAGCCGACCTCTGGTAAGAACCTTTTGTTATCAGCTACATATTTGTGTTGATGAAGTTGCAGTGTGCGCATTGTTGTGCTTCTGTAGGACGAGACTGTCATCAGCTAACCAGTGAGAGCGTGTATTGTTGTTTTTCATTGTCTGGGTTGCCGCTGTGGTTGTTACATAAACTTTTTTGAATTAAGTACATGTTAATTGTTAGCACTCATATTGTGTTTAATTTAGTCAAGCTCATGTTTAAAGAGTAAACTGTGATTCCATGAAGTTAGGTTGCTGACTTCTACACAACATAAATGTCAGAGATCAGTTTAGTAAATAAAATGCTGAAAACATTTACCATTTATGTGCTACATTTGACTTAAATGCAATATTTTTAAATGTTAATCTCCCATTTGAATACTGAAGATACAACATTTTGTTTTGCTAGTTTTATTGGAAAACATTTGTAGCAGTAAAGATGACACTGCCATATGAACTGATTGAAAGTAGAATATAAGAAAAAATAGTAAAACATTTGGTTTAACTTTAATAGACATTACAAAATCATTGCGCTTGGTAGGTTCATTGTCAATTGAAAAACACCACACTAAGATGAAGTTGGGCAAAATCAGTGGTGCTCCCTCTCTAATCTGCACTGCCTCAAATCTTGTTTGAATTAGGAGAGTTTAAACGGCCCAAGGCAGACATTAAATATCTGTCCCTTCTCAGTTCTCCACTGAAAACTCTTTTTGTGGGCCTAAACAAATTTGTTACTTAACTATTCAGCTGCATGCGGAGGAGAAGTCCCACCCTAGCTTGGGAACCAGACAAACCTGTAAGCTCAGTTTTTTTTCAGCTCTGGTAGACACATCTTGTACACTTCATGCCCAAACAGGTTTCAAGTTGATTTTGTCACGGTTAATACTGCAGGCAGGTGAACCCAAATGCAAAAGCAGCCACATGGCAACAGGGTCTTGAAGAAAATACTCATTTATCACCAGATTCTGGGAACAGGCAGACGAAGGGAAAACACAACTGGCTGGCTTGAAACACGAGGAGCAAAAACAAATGTGGAACGCCAGTAACTGACAAGGAACCAGCTGGAGTAGGTGGGACCGGCACAAGGAGTCAAAGACAAGGGAGAGTGAGAACAGGTAAGTGGACTGCAGGACTAGCAAGGGATATGTGAGGCTCAGGGACAGGTAAACAGACAGGAAGTAAAACAGAAATGACACATGAGAAGGGAATCTAAAAAATAAAACAGGAAACAGGTCAAACATGAATCAATAAAATGAAACAAAGACAAATGCAGATAGAAACCCAAGAACAAGGTGCTAGAGATAAGACATTAAACAAATAGCCAGGATCATGACAGACCTGGCCCAGAGCGGGTCATGTATAACTGTTTATCTAATCTGGAACGTGCATCAGATAATGACCGACAACTTGCAGAGCCTTAGCACTTTAAATGCAAAATATGTGGTGACATAATTTTTGGACTCTATGGCAAGTATGAACCTTGCTTAAAGAGAAGTGCTGTTGAGGCATTTTCAAAAACAACCAAGATGGCTGCAGCTCTTTCTGTTTAAGTATTATTTTCAAATTCTGATGTCAAAAAGAGCAACACTCATTGACAGACTTACTAATGCTACATCATCACAGCTCATCTCGGCACACTGTAGTGTATTTACATTTGTCCATCGCTCAATGTTACGTCAAGTGTTTGGCTTCTCTGGTTGGCTTTAGGTCTATCCAATTGCGTCCAGAGGCGTTTTCGTCCATGGCCATGGATAACGCCCCTTGGAAATTGAAAATGAAAGCTGAAGTTCCAGACAAATTCGCATTTGTGATTTGGTCTGGTGACGTCAGGCTAATCATACCCTTTAATATTTGGACAAAGATCAGTAGGATGCCCCAAACGTTGCTAGGCATACTGTGCAGGGGCAGAGGCCCCCAGTCAGAAGCCCCGGTGCCCCGGTGAAGTTGTCTGGCAACGTGCCTGCAGTAGTGGTGTCGGTGTGAGTCCCAAATAAAATGTAAAAAGCTCTTTAATTTTTGTGTTTTTCAACCGATTGTAATGAGTCAATTTTATCTGGATCTGGATAATCTGGATATTTAGGCTAATCACTACTGCTCAATGCTTAGTAGAGGAGTGTGTTAGGCTTATATCAACTGAATTATTTATGCGCTGAAAGATAAATCATCACAGTCATTGATTTGGCGTATTCCTTAATTAATAGTTGTGAACACGTCCCCATTTATTATAATTGAATAATTGAATGTGGAAGTACAGCTTAGCAACTTGCTAGTGCGCTAGCTAGCTAACGCTGTCTGCTTATTAACACCTTGATCATTACAAAGTACTCTTCACTTTATAAAAGGCCACCACAAGAAAACGTGGTCTTTATTTATGTTAACTTAGAGACTATCATTTGTGTTTAGATCGGTTCATCTGCATCCAGGCAGGGAAAATGAAAGACTCGCCGATGTAAGCGATGTAGCTAACGTAGCTAGCACGCTGGCTATGCTTGATCAATGACAGGTAGAAACAAACATCTACGATCCATCATCCATTTATTAATCTAAACAAAGAACATGTTTTCTTGTGGTGTCCTTTCTGAAATGAGCAGTGGTGAAAGTTACTAAGGAGTCAATAAGCAGACAGCGTTAGCTAGCCAGCTGAAAAGCTGTCTGTTACTTCCTCGTTAAATTATATTATATGAGGACGTCTCCACAAGATTTAACCAGGGACAATAAGACATATCCATGCTTGACAAATGTGAGTTTTTAAAGTTATTTATGATGATAAATTGTCTTTCACACATCAGTAATTCAGTTCATGTAAGCCAAACACACACTCCTCTACTGAGCGTCCAGCAGTCGTTATCCGTACCGCAGAAGAAACTTTATTTTCCACTACACAGAGATCATAATGTATGTGTATATGTGTATATGTAGATTGTCTTGCACTAACAAACTAACGAGCAATGTCAACATTAAAGTGACCGGACATCTTCATGTACCTTGGGGAAAAACCCTGCGTCCATAGAAAAACTCAAGACATACAAACCTCTCCATTCATAGTTTTGTACTTTGCAGTCACCTCAAGGATGTTTCATATGGAGATTTGTCAAATGATTTTTGTTTGTTATGGGCATTAAACAAAGCTATATAACACATAAACAAGTCAAACAGCTATTTACTGATGGCAAACACTGCATGGCTCAGTATGAACTTTTTTTCATTGCTTCAATGTATTTTAGAAAAATGTAAATCCCGTTGCCACTAGGTGTATGTAAATATAGGCCTAAATATTTCATGCTAACTGAAGGGCTCTATTTATTGCATATGTAACTATTAGGTAGTTTTTTGTTTACATCAAATTATAGGAACTATCTTCTTTAAGCTTCAAACAGCGTCCTAGGTGATGGTTTTCAATAAAAATTAAGGTTATCTTTTTTTGTATTCCTGTTATGACATCCAGTGGCACAAAAAGACATGTTTATTAGGGGTATCTTATTACAGTGAAAGTAGAAATGCTCCATCAGAATTTAACAGTTCATAATTAGGTATGTCAACAGTTACTTGTATGTCAGTCTATAGTTTAATTTTGTACTCACACTATGCTGTACCACAACAAAGCTTAAAAGTATTCACGCTACACTGGTTAGCTAGCCGCCACCACTCTGTATTGCGCACCAACTGGGTTGGGTGGGAGCTAGCTAGCATCAGCGCTCATTCAGTGATTATTGCTCGTAACACTGTTCCGACCCGTGCAGTTGCTGTTCCACAGCAGTGTTACAGTACCCACCCTCCAATCTTACCTCAAGTCGCCCCAGTAACTAAGCGGCTTTATTTTGAGCTGCAAAACTCCTTTAGCTTTGATAATATTGTTGTTTGCTACTATATTAATGTTCTGAATGTAAACTGAACCTGGATGGAAAATGACACAAATACAGAGCACACAAAAAAGTTCAAGTTAATATAATGTTAACTCTTAAAATCTCTGCAGGGACCCAGCGTTCATCAGTCAGCTACTGACAGATATGGCGACCATCATGATGGAGAAAATCGGGCGAGTGTTCATCACCCTGCAGCAGATCAGGGAGGTTCCCCGGATGCTGACTGAGGCTGCACCCTCCATGCCTGGCACCGTAAGAGACATCGATGTTCCCTACTACTTCAGGGAGAGCTACATCGGCACCGGCTACAGACCACTCAACGAGAACTGGCGCTACTACTTCCTGTCTTTATTCCAGCGCCACAATGAGACCATCAACGTCTGGACTCACCTGCTGGCGTTTTTATTTTTCCTGGCTAGATTGGGGCAACTTGCCAAGACTATAGACTTTGTTAATGATCCTCATTCGTGGCCCCTGTTGATCCTTATCCTGTCCTCCTTGACCTACTCGGCATGCAGTGTAATCGCTCACCTGCTGGGTGGAAAGTCTGAGCTGTGTCACTACACCTTCTTCTATCTGGACTATGTAGGAGTAGCACAGTATCAGTACGGCAGTGCTGTAGTTCACTTTTACTATGCTGTGAGTGAGGGCTTGCACAGATACATGCATGGGATCTTCATGCCCACTGCTGCCATCCTCAGCTGTCTGTCATGTCTGGGATGCTGCTATGGCAAGTACTGCAGCTGCAGCGTACCACCATTGGGGCGTAAGGCATTTCAAGTGGTGCCCTCAGCGCTCGCCTTTATCTGGGATAGTACTCCTGTGGCTGGAAGACTCATGTCATGGTCTACAGCCAGCGATGACCCAGCCCTTATTTATCACTTTGGCCAAGTGGCGTTCTTTCTCAGCTGCACCTTCTTCTTCACCTTCCCTCTGCTGGAGCGCTGCCTCCCAGGGCGGTGTGATTTTGTTGGACAGAGCCATCAGGTGTTCCATGTTTTACTAACTTGCTGCACCCTGTGTCAGATCCATGTCTATCACCTCGACTACATGGATCGTAGGAAGCTGTACTCACGCCTGCATAGGAGCAGTGATGCCGCTTTCTTTGTGCAGCTGTATGTGGTCACTGTGGTTGTATGCGCGCTGATTGCTGCCTTCATGCTAAGGAGAGCTAAGCGAGGGCTTGACTGCAAAGCCAAGTCCAAATGATAGATTGACACAGATTAACCTGTCTCTGTCCAAAGCTAGAAAAATCCACCAACAAGCACCTCAGAAACTCATTGATTGACATGTTGTACTGTGTGTTATTGGTTAAATTTGCACACAGTGACAAGTTGTTTTGTGGGGTTTTACATGCCAAGACATGACCAAGAAATAGTACGGCATATAACCTCCCATAAAACCCCTACTTGGTGTCGTCACACCACAAAGTCACATCGACTTGTCCATGTGAAATAGGTGCTGGTGGTGATTCAGTGACTACTTGCAAGGCTAGCTGGTGAACTGCTGTAGGTCACAAGCTAGCCACCAACATGTCAGCTGGCTGGGTCAGCACTAGTCAACCTCTGGAGCCCCTCTGTTTTCTCTCTTCTGTTCTGTTTACTTTCCCCTTACATTTTGTTCACTATCGCACACCATTTTGTTCAATGAAGAGTCATTCAAGAGGGAAACTAAAGCTCTTCAAGATAGCGAGCTTACTAACGGTCACTTAGCTTGCTCCATTCTGGACTGTACAGCCTTCCATTCCCTAAGAGGTCAGCACTGTCAGTACTTCTCGCTGTTGTTCAACGGCATGAATCTGTGCATCATAGTTCACCTGTTCAGCTGAACTCTGCGCAGAACATTTGCATCGATTAATTTAACTCTTTCAGGTGAATCCTCCAATTGCAGACATTCTATTGAAATTGATTCTGCCACAACTTTTGCCGTTTTTAATTATGTTGTGTCCAGGTCTTTAGACTTCAGCTTTAGTTCTGATTAAATAAGATATAACATGTTAAACGAGCTAGCTGTATGGATGCATGGAGCCAGCATGGATGTATTAAGAGCCGTTCATTCCTGAACGTTGCTCAGTGACACATGAAGCCAAAAATGCTCTTCTTCCGTGGTAAGTAATTACTCTGATGAAGCGCTGCTTCTGCATCATTGGACTCATGACAGAGCAAGCATGCTCGAGACTTCCGCTGGCCAAGCTGGCTACTTCCAGTTTAGCACGCCACTAACTTTAATGGGATAAAATTATTTGATCTTGCGGCACTTCTAGACTTTGTGTTTTTTGACCAAATGGATTAAATCCTGCTCAAAAAATATAAATGTATGTATGTAAAGGCAAAAAACACCAAAAAGTAGCTTCAAAGCTTCAAAGCCCGATGCACTTCCTTGGGGCCTGGCTCATACTCTTCATGCTAAGCTAAACTAAGCTTAGCACAAAGTGAATTTTGTAATGTGCTGGGTCAACGTGTAAAAACATGGGCCTGTGTGTCCAAAAATGTAGTTACTGAAGACCAGATACGAGGATAAGGATGTTATATGAATAAACGTGCCTTGTCTTGTCTTGCCTTGTAAAAGAAACAGGTACCTACATATTGTAATTTTCAGGGATATGCCATCCTGAAATGTTCAAGGTTGACTCCACCCTAAACATACACATCATTTTACATTTCGTGAGAGGTACTATTCAGCTTGTGAAAACACGTTATGATATCCTCAGGGTTGTTTCAGGTCTCATCGGTCTATATGTGCCGTTTTGAGGTCCAGGCAGCACTGGCTGCTGGCAACCTATTGTTCTTGAGGGGTTCAAACCCAAAGGGCCGAAGCTGTATTGTTTCTGTGTGAATTTATTTATTAATGTTTCTTAAGTAATGCTTTGCAAATTCCTTTCAGGTGGTACAATGTAGAAACATTTAGTTTTAATCAATGATTGGACCTGGGCGTGGCTTATTACAATAAATCTAAATTTCCAGACATTTCACATTCCAAATGAAAAAAAAAAATCAAAATAAAATTTTGAAATTTGTTTAGCACATTCACTGAACTTTGACAAAGTATGATATGAGGTTTTAATTTTAGACTTTTATCACCAATGCTTGTGTCAGTGACTGTTTGACTGTTGTAAGTGCTTTAAACCTAAAATGACAAAAAAAAAAATCCCCCGTTTTGTACATATGACATCATTGCAACAAGTTTTGAGAAGGTGTAGAAAACCATGTTTTCCTGGTGGTGCAGTTAGAGCTCATCTACTCTGTGGATGTAGAGGTTTCAAGGTTCAGTTCCCCAGGTAGGCGGGTACTTTACTTTGTGAACATTGAAATACACTTGATAAACGCAGGTTGATGTGTGATGTTTTTCAGGGTCGTATACCCAACAGTCACATTGTTGTTACTCTCTCTGCCTCCTGCTTCTGAGGCTGGTTTGTCTTCCTGGCCTCAGAGCCGCTGGGCAGGGTTGAAGATTTTGTCAGGAAACTATACCTGCACTGGTAGATCTCCTGTTTCTGCCCATCTGTTGTGATGTGTTACTTTATCAATTTCCAACTAATCGTCCTAATCTTCTGTGACGAATCTTATTTTAATGCAAAGGTTAAGTGTTCAAATCACAATTTTGCCATCTTGCAGGTGCATTTTTCACAATAACTTTCAACACTTTGAACATAGTAGCACTATTTGTTTATGAATCAATAGAAATGAGATCTGTTGTCACATGAAACATATTTGCGCACAAGCTCATAGGCCACATGGAGTGTTTCTGTTGAAAATGAAACAAGGATTCAAATGCTTGTAATGTGCTTGGACCTTGATAAATGTCGCTTGTGGCTTCAATTCATGTCATTTTAATTGCATAAAAATGATCTATACACCTCAATATAACTCTACTTGATAATTCATGTATCTGTATGCTTTATTTTTTAAAACTGATTTATGTTTACATTAAATTTCTTTAAAAACCTAACTTTTCTCCTTTATTTTTTCTCTCCTTCATTCATTCATTCATTAATTTTCTGTAACCGCTTATCCTGTTAGAGGTCACGGGGGGCTGGAGCCTATTCCAGCTGATACTGGGTGAGAGGCAGGGTACACCCTGGATAGGTCGCCAGACTATCACAGGGCTGACACGTAGAGACAGACAACCATTCACACTCACATTCACACCTACGGATAATTTAGAGTCACCAATTAACCTGCATGTCTTGGGACTATGGGAGGAAGCTGGAGCACCTGGAGGACACCCATGCTGACACAGAGAGAACACGCAAACTCTGCACAGAAGGACTCAAACCCCCCACCCCATGGTTTGAACCAGGAGCCATTTTGCTGTGAGACAACAATGCTAACCACCAGAGATGGTACCAAGTCACACATGTGCAAGTCTCAAGTAAGTCTCAAGTCTTAACCTTCAAGTCTCAAGTAAGTCCCAAGTCATTTTTTCTTGGGCAAGTCTAGTCAAGTCAAGTCAAGTCACAGGTTATGTCAAGTCAAGTCCTGTAATAGGTCAAGTCAAGTCCAAGTTAAGTCACCTTATTATTGTAATTTTACCTGCAGAATCTGATCTTAATAAAGTGAAAAGACAAGATATAAGTAACTGTCAGTAAACATTGACTTCATCGCTGCAGTGGTTACTTTGCAGGGACGACCCCCATGCGTGCGCGTGCACACACACAGGCACACACACATACACTAACCAACCAAGGCAGCGGCCAAAATCACCCATTTAGCTCATTTGACCCCGTGTTGCTCGTTCATAAAACGTACAGCCGGTCTTGTGAAGAACCGGTCGGAATGTTCGCTCATGTTTTCTCGGGTTAATGTTAGCAAAAAAATTAAAAAACAAGTTCCACCAAACCGACCCATCCGCCCACCCCCATATCGTATCAAGCTAACGTTAGCTAACTACCGACTAACCAGATAATATTAACTAATTGACAAGCACTTACTGGACAGAATGGCTCTTCAAATGATGAAAAAGTTTGAAGTTGTCGCCTGGCTGTCCGAGATGTTTATGCCGCATGTCTTGCACTGTGCTGTTCGTCTTTTGCCGTCGTAATGGTAATTCTGAAAGCCGAAGACGATGACTCTCGGTACCCCTCCCGCTGACATGTTGATGCCTATCTGATATAAGAGGGCCTGTTTCTCCAATAAACACGTAAGGTAGGTAGAGAGGGCATGACTGATTGACAGGGTAGTGATCCAATCATGACAACGCCATTCTCGGCCTGCGCTCCTACCGGGTAATCAACATTATTTTTTAAATTAATTTATTAATTTTATATTCTAACCGAAAACATGATGTAAATAACACTCAAGTCATTCAAGTCATCGTGTCTCAAGTCAAGTCCTGAGTCTTTAACTTCCAAGTCCGAGTCAAGTCTCAAGTCTTTTATTTTTTGTCAAGTCACAAGTCATCAAAACAGCGACTCGAGTCCAAGTCACAATGACTTGAGTCAACATTTCTGCTAACCACTGCAGCGCCTTTTCTCTTCTTGTTGTGTTTAATTTCTCTATATTCACATTTCAACTCATACTCCCTGACCAAATACTGTAAAGTGAATTATAATCTTGCTTGCTCTCAGATGGATCTACACACAGTGACAAATGTCTTTCTGCTTCCACCCAATGTAAATGACTTTACTTGACACATGAGCAGAATATATTTCGTACTGTCTCAGGTGCAGAGAGAATACTGTCCACCTCACTCAGATATATTGGTCCTCTGGCCTGCTCTGTGGCCTGGCTCCAGTCTCACTGTGTACTGGTGCGTACTGGTCCGTCCTGCACGGCTCACTTACTCACTTGAAGCCCTGAATCAGCTAAATTATGGCACTGTTGGACTCTCTCCCACATTCCTCCTGTCTGACTCACAATAGAAGGGGCCAGCCTGCTTCCCATGTGATAAATTCCAAATTACATTTCATCACAGCTCATAAACCTAATGGAGCTCAAAATACTTGATGCAACAATAAACAGCTGATTTGTTGATGTTTGATAAACAAAAAGGTCATGGACAGTTACAATTTTAATAGTCTAGATGATTTCATGTCACTTAGCCTACTGTTGTGTGGTCTAGTGGTTGGACAGAGTGTACCAGAACTGGACAAACCCAGATTTAATCCACTTGGCAGCCATGTGTGAAGTTTCCTTGACCATTATTAAACCCCCTAGCTCCTTTTGACTCTCACAGTGACTGGTTCTTTGGAAGGAGAGGCAGAAAACAGTGTTTTTTTTTTATTCAATGAATTTCAGAGGAGTTCCTGGTAAAGAAGAGAAATGTTGTAATTGTGCCAGCAGTCACCAAGGACTAAATGTTTAAGTCATGCTAACGGCAAATGCCAAACTGTCAGTGTGTCGCTGAACCATTTTGGGACAGTCTGAAATTTACCATTTCAGTCACCAAATGACTGAAATGTATGGAGATAGATTTGTTTCATAATTATGTGTATGAACAGATCGACAATCTGTGTGTAAATGTGTAATCTGTAAATATAAAACACCTTCTACAAATACAAAAAAAGATTTGTAAACTCACAAAACTATTTTGCAAGTATGAAACGGATCTGCAAATACACAAACAAATTCTACAAATAAAAAAAATATCTGTGAATACATGAAATTAATTTGCAAATAAATGAAAAGCATTTGCGAATATCTACCTAACATTTACAGCTTTCAAACAGGCATTTGTGAACTCAGTTTTTATTTGTGAATCGAAAAAACATTTGTGTCTGTTGTGCCTAGGCAAGGGTCAGCAACAAAAAAAGATCTGTTTGGAGCCACAAAACATATTTAAGCCTCATGATGTAGGTAGCACAGGCTTTTAAGTTGAATTTAGCCCGTCATCGCTGCAGTGGTTACTTTGCAGGGACGACCCCCATGCCTGCGCGTGCACACACACACACACACACACACACACACTAACCAAGGCAGCGGCCAAAATCACCCATTTAGCTCATTTGACCCTGTGTTGCTCGTTCATAAAACGTACAGCTGGTCTTGTGATGAACTGGTCGGAATGTTTGCTCATGTTTTCTGGGGTTAATGTTAGCAAAAAAATTAAAAAACAAGTTCCACCAAACCGACCCATCCGCCCACCCCACCCCGGTATCGTATCAAGCTAACGTTAGCTAACTACCGACTAACCAGATAATATTAACTAATTGACAAGCACTTACTGGTCAGAATGGCTCTTCAAATGACGAACAAAGTTTGAAGTTGTCGCCTGGCTGTCCAAGATGTTTATGCCGCTTGTCTTGCACTGTGCTTTTCGTCTTTTGCCGTAATAATGGTCATTCCGAAAGCCGAAGACGATGACTCTCTGTACCCCTCCCGCTGACATGTTGATGCCTATCTGATATAAGAGGGCCTGTTTCTCCAATAAACACGTAAGGTATGTAGAGAGGGCATGACTGATTGACAGGGTAGCGATCCAATCATGACAACACCATTCTCAGCCTGCGCTCCTACCGGGTAATCAACATTATTTTTTAAATTAATTTATTAATTTTTTAAATTAATTTATTAATTTTATATTCTATTCTTTTATATTCTAATGTTGATATTAATATCAACATTACTATTAGATCTAAATGAGCATTCATTAATATATTTTAGCACAGGTAGTTCCTCTGCAGTGGACTATTTTTGATTATTTGGTTGTCTAAATTTGCCACGTTGAAACAATGAAAGCAAACAAACTTGTCCACGCACTATTAAATTCTCTATTTTCCCTAGAGAGTTTTTCTTTTGGATTTGGGATTCACAGTTAGCTTAGTGAGGAAGACTCATCACTCACTGTAACCATCACTAGTGATGTTTTTAGGGGAAAATGTGCCAGGCCAGACTTTTTTTTTTTTTTTTAAATTGGTGTTTAGGCTATGCATACAGTTAAAGAATGTAAAACACAGTTATTCATTTCCATATAATTTTATGTCAAAGCCACAAGGAGCCACTGGAGAGGCGCTTAAGAGCTTCATGCGTCTCTAGAGCCACAGGTTGCCTACCCCTGGCCTGGATGATAAGGTGTGTTGACTTTGGGGATCCCCTGAATAGTGCCACCATGAGGTTGACATTTTTGGTTAAAAGTAACCATAGACTAAAAAAGATGGTTTGTGGACTCCTGATTGAAGCCTCAAGTTTGACATTTTTATTGTCTTGTTTTTTAGGGTCAGAAGTGACCATATGTGGATAAGAGGGTGGTTAAGCCTAGCAAACAGCCTGGCAATCAAAGCAGCCCTGCCTTTAATTATGTATAACTTTAATAAAAGCTCTAATAAAATTTAAACAGGTGAGTTATATACAAATTTTCCCCACAAACAGTTGTTGTGAATTGGGAAATTAGCTATAGAGACCAAAACCAGGCTGGAAACATGCTTATTTCTGCTGTTACGTTGGACATTTTGATGAGGGTCTATGGGGATTGACACTCGCTTGCACCCTCAAGTGGCCATTAAAGGAACTGCAGTTTTTTGGCACTTTGGTATTGGCTTTGTTTTTCAACCCCAAAGGTTGGTGCTTGATAGTAACATGTCTGGCTGTTATTAGATGGATGGCCATGAAATTTAGTAAAGACAGCCTTGGTGTCTCGACTATGAATCCCAATAACTTTGGTGGTCCCTTATCTAGTGAAACATCTCAACGTCTCCTGGGTGGATTGGCTCAAAATGTTACACTGATAATTATGGTTCCCAGGCGATTTTTCCCACTGACTTCAGTGATCCCCTGACTTATTTTTCTAGCACCACCATGATGTTGAAATTGTGTTGTTGTTTTTCCCCAGTTAAATTTCTTGCATTGCCTCAAAAGTTGGTACATACATTCATGTCCCCCTCAGGATGGATTGTATCTTCGGTGATCCCTCAACTCTTTATCCAGCTGTCCTTTGTGTTTAGTGCTCATACATTTTCATGCTAACATGCTAAACTAAGATTACACCATCTTAGCATCCACATGTTAGTATTGTCATTGTGAGCATGTTGGCATTGGTTAGCATTCAGTTCTAAGCTCTGCTCTGCCTGAGTAAAGCCTCACAGAGCTGTTAGCACGACTCTAGTCTTGTTGTCACACACCTTGGAATCAGCAGGAGGCTGTAAAGAAATAATTTAGTGAAAATGTCAAGAGAAAGAATTGGGGCATCAAAACTATTTTTAGAAATATTACACCAGTAGACTTTTGGGTGTGTGGTAGACTGCTCCTCCACTGTTTCATTTCTGGTCACACACACACACACACACACACACACACTGCAAGCTTCACTGTGTGCTGAGTGATGTGGCTGCCGGCCTGGAACACTAAATCTTAAAGGAGTAATGAAGGCTTCCTGCGCCCCAGTGGATTCATTCTCCAGAGGTGTTTGTCAGCAGACAGCGTGCTCAGGGTAGACTCCCATGGTTAGAAAAGCTCTGTTGATTGTAGTCATCACTTTTGCCAAGATGAGCCTCGTTTTAATGCAGCACTGACTGTCTGATCTACACAGCTGCCTTGCACAATATCCTCAGCTTTTGGATTTAGTAGCCAACACAAATTCAGAAAAGATCAGTTTGCTAGGAAGATAACCGTGTGTCAAAACCACGGGCAAGTACATGCCAGAATTAGAGCAGTAATAAACCTGGTGAATGACTGTTTGCTTGTATAAATGAAATACCTCCCCAATAACTGACCAAAAAGATTCCATTGCAGAAAACCAAAGGAAATTTAAAGGAAATCTCAACTCAGATTTAAAGGAAAATCATAAGGTGCTTTGTGCAACTAGACCCTTGATGCTTTTCCTGTTTCTATAACAGGTGGCACATGGACAGGAGAGAGCCATTTAATTTGAGCACAACAGTGCGAGGCAACGAGGTTACTGTTGGCACTGTGTCATCATCCTGAGGACATTGGTATCGTTAACTGCTGCACACAATTTACATGCTTCAACTCTTCATAGTGATTTTAACATTGGCACAGACATGAAAGATCAATAAGTTTGGTTGCCAGTTGGCTCCAGTAAAGAGAAGCCATTGTATGTAGGTGTTAACCTGCGGTGTGACGTATTTAATGTTGTCTAGTTACAGACTATTGTTTGGCAGAAAGACGCTGTGTCTGTAGAGTTATTAAATAGAAACATTCATGAGGAACACCACTGTGAGCAAGTGACGCAGATTTGTTGAAGAGGAATAAAACTGGTGAAGCGAGTTCATTGTTACACATTTTTCCCCACAAATGCTCAAGTTAGTCGTCATAATCTGGAGCAATTATTGAAAACATGTCCAGAATATGTAGAAAGAGATGCTCGGTCATGATAAGATATACTGGTAAACTTGAGTTAAGGGCTTTAAATAAGGTATATATGGCACAGGTACACATGTAGTTATTTCAGCTGGTGATACTTTTCTTAAAACAATGTAAATTCATTTTGATGTTTGGTGCACGGAGGAGGAAACAGTGTGCATGTGCCTCAAGACACTTAGTGACCTCTTCATCTACTGTTCCAGAGGAGGATAGGATCATTAGTAAAGGTGGATTGCATCACTAGTTTTCCTGTAAACAGCCTGTGCAGTACATAAAGTACAAGGAGTTATGGTTGACAGAGCCGTGGTGTCACCTAAAATATTTACTGCAGGACAGGGATATGTAGCATGACGCCATGTTACAAGTTTATCAGGATGAATTATTTTAAATGTTTGAGGACAAGGCCATTTATTGTAAAGATGACATGATGTAGAATTTAGAACGTTAAGTTTACACATAGTAACAGCAGTGATTTACAGACCAGATCAGATCCTGTGTCTCTGTTTAAAGAAAATTTAGGCATGTTTGGGACTGTTTGTTACTAATAAGGAGAGAATGGGTGGTGCAAAATCCATGACAAATATTTTTTTAAGCACTGGGAAGGGACTTGTGTTTTTTATGTTGGCGTAGGGGAGTGAGATATAACTTTAAATAGTTTGATGGTGAATTCATTTTAAATACCCCTTTTTAAATTCAATTCAATTCACAATTTTATTCACAAACACAGATTAAAAGAAAAAAATACAACTGCAGTTCATCTGAGCATTTTGCACTTTGCTGTATACTGCCCACTTGTGGCGCTCCCATAGGAAGAGCAATGTGTAAAGACTTAGGGGAGGGGTGTCCAAACTTTTTTGAAAGGGGGCCAGATAAAACAACGTGAAAATACCTGGGGGCCAACTGATTCTCGCATCAAATGGGTTTAAAAAAAAAAAAGTTCTTAATGAACTATTGATGCCTGTCTACAAACTGTATGATAGTCCTATTATTGTGAGATGAAGGGTAAAAATGTGAAGTGATCTTGCTCGATTAACCATTATTGTGTAAAGGGCCACATATGGTATATTCTGAAAGTCAAGCTGAGGGCCGATTAAAATTGGTCTGTGGGCCACAATTGGCCCCTGGGCCAGACTTTGGACATGCCTGACTTAGCGCCTGCTGGGGGACCTCTTATGATACACTGAGCCCCTTCTGACTCTCTCCTCAGATTCTGAAAAGTTGGTTCTTCTTCATTTGATAACATTCACGTCCTGTTACTGCATGTCACTAACTCGGCTTCTTCTCCGGAGCCTGTGCTCCGCTGTCTTGCAGGTTTTACTGTCACATACATATACTATCATATATTAATATTATTATAATATTATTACTAAAATGAATCAGAGCCGATGCAGGAACAGGGCTCTGAGCATCATCAGGGGTCCTTCACACCCTCTCCACAGGCACTTTGAACTGCTGCCATCAGGCAAACGCTACTGCTGCATCAAGTCTAGGACCAGTCGACTGCTGAACAGCTTCCTGCCACAGGCTGTCAGGATGCTAAACAGTTCAATTGGACTCTCCATCCCATGCACCTTATACATACTGCACAACACTGCACATGGTCACTTTAAATGCCAATTGTCACTTTTTCTGATAATGGTCACTGCTGATGTGTGAGTGTCATACTGAACTTTTAGTTGGTGATTTATTTATTAATAGAGTACTGTGGCTGTGTGATGAATCAGTTGAGGTAAGTCAGATACAGTTATCCATAAGGGACCAAACACAGCTTCTATGTGGGGACCAGTGTGTGTGTGTGTGTGTGTGTGTGTGTGTGTGTGTGTGTGAGAGTCTGCACTTCACTGTCTCTTTAAATGGAGCAGCCAGTAGTGGTCCTCAGTGTGAGGGAATGTAGAGTCAAGTTAACCAGAGTACAACAGATCATTTCCTGTTATCGTTCCCAATATTAAACACTTATTGACATGATTTGTGCTTTGAGCTGCTGTGACATGTGACAGTGTTGGATTAACAAAGTTTATCTTATCTTATCTTATCTTATCTTATGTCAAAGAGAATATGCATCAGCAAAGCCAAAACTGATGATAACCTTAACCTGCCAGTTATTTTCTTGAAAAAATATCTGGTCTATAAAATGTGTCTGACAAAATGTCTCACACCCCAAAAATCTGTTTTGCAGACATATGAGGACGAGGCAACCGAGATGCTGGAACTGGGCAATGTTTGGCGTTATGAATCTATACATATTAGGCGATTCATTGCTCTTCAGATAGGCTGGTTGTCTTTCCTTGACATTACTGATGTGGGAGGAACACTTCCCTCAGTAAAACAAAACATAACAATAACCAAATCTGAGCTTATAATAGTGATACTTAATCAAAATCACTTATTCTTATTCTTATTCTCACAAACTAACCAGCATGTACGACAAGAGTGATGAACCAAGGCTTTTTTAAACTCCAGGATTTCATCTTTTAACATTCAAACATCAAAGGATATCTTTTTGAAATCTAACAACTAATTTATGGTGGAGGGAGGGTCATGCATTTTCCACCAGTCACTCGGGGAGGCTCAGGGAGGGTAAAAAACAAACAAACAAACAGAAGAAGAAGATACACGACTATACTATTAATCCCCGAGGGGAAATTCACTGTGCGGTCCAATACCCATACTACCATACTTTATAGTATGCCACAAAAAGATTTAGTATGACCCAATACATAGTTTGTTTAATGCAGTGTGCCAAAAATACCAGGATGTTTTACTACATCCAGTACGATTTTGCAGTATGCAAGCAAGCATGCTTTTCTGGCTAATCTGACCCACAATCCTTTGCACAGTGGACGATACGTCACATTGACAGAGCCGCAAACAGATTGACAGCTGTCAGAATTCAAGTAACTGATGACCAGTCGAACAGTAATAATAATAATTTTTGGACTTCGCACAGACTCGTGTACTTTGCTGGCATGTTCCCGGGAAGTCCGGGAGTGCTGAGCAAATCCACAATTCAGTCAGTCCACAAGGGGCCTCAAGCGGACTTTCTGCAGACTTCCAGAGAGTCTGCTTGGGGTGCAGACTTCACCAACTCAGTGATTTAATAACACACAGTTCACTGGAATACGGATGTGAAAAAAAAAATTATGAATGTTTAAAATAGTTATTCATTATTAGGCCTACTAAAATGCTACTTGAATTGTATGAGTAGGCACTGTTCATCAACTTACATGACATATATATGAATATGACTGCAGCGGTGGTTAACCGTTTCCACGGCAACGAGCAAACAGTCTCAAGGGTTGTCTGTCTGCCACTTGCAGTCTCTGCTCTTGCATACTTTACATGTTGACGGTAAATACGTCACACTACGTACAACTGAAGTCTGTGAGGGCTCAGTGCAAGTCCAGAAGGTGGACATTTGGATTCAGTCCATATTTGGTTTGGACGAGGACTTGGACCAGTGACTCTCTGGTTCCCAACCCAGGTCCCTATGGACTGAGCTACTGCTGCCCAAAGAATGAAACAAACAAACAAAAACAATAAAGTCACCCCCCTCCTCTGGTAAGTAACGAACACTCCCTTACTTTTACCTTTTTCTGTTACACCTTGTTTGTTTTCCCTTAATGTGGAAATGCACGACTTTTATTTTGAAAACACTGCCACACTTCCGCCTTCTTGTTACCGCTAACCGTTGAGCTTGACACAGGCGAGAGAAAGGTGCTGGCAAGCAGATACACAAAGGCAGTGGAAGGACCCGCAGCAATGGGAATCAAACTGTACTACACCACCGTTACTGCCTCACGGACGGTGAGTGAAGCGGCCGTAACATCATGAACTTAACGCCATGTTTGTGTCTCGAGCTCCGGTGGCGGCAGCTAACAAAGCTCCGTCCAACAGACACACCCAGCACCCTATCAGCTATAGCTTCCTCCTGACTAACGGTGCAGTGGGCCTGTGCTAACGTTACTCAGCGCCCCTTTATATCAATAATGTAACGTCAGCATTACCAGGCTGTGTGGGCTTAATGGTGGAGGTGAAAGTTAGCAGTTGTAAATGTGACTTAACTAAACATATAGGGGTTACAGATACGAGCCAGGATACATACTCCACCTCATTTCCGTTATACGGAAGAGGAAAGGTGTTTTATTAATCGAGCATGCTTTGTTAGCTCATATAGACCGTATTATCTATATTAAAAGCTAACTATTAAAGTGTCATTTTGGTACATAGGACCACCTGCAATCGCTATGTGTAACGCTAGCAAGCAGATGTATCCGTTACCTTACTGTACGCCAAACTTAATGTAAAAAACCTGCTCATTCTTGTTGTTCCCATGACTGTAGGTTGGCGGTAAGCTAGCGTTACAATCCTGCAAAAATCAGAAAAGTAGCTTAAATAAAAACTGCCCGGTGGTTTAAACATAAGCCGTACTCATTACTAGACCCTGTCACTTAGGAAAAATCAACTCTTTTATGCATTTGTTAGTTTCTAAGCAAGATATCCTTAAATAGTTTGTTTTTCTTATGGAGTTTTGCATCACAGTTCCATAGACTATATTAGAATGAATCCATTGGAAGAGGTTGTCATTCATTTGCAGACACTAGTGAAGTGTGGTAAAACACAACATCCCATGTAGGAGTAACTGTGCAGCACTATGAAAAGTGTATGGCAAACCACTGGGCTGAACATCTGGTATCAATTAGATGTGAGGAATTCATGTAGTAAAAAAGTTTTGTGACGTGCACTGGCGTTTAACCCTCTCATGTGCAGTCATGCTTCTAGGTAGCTTCAGAAGTGTTCAAAAGGAAGATTTTGATTGCTTACATGCCACTAACACAGCACCTGCTGCACTGCTCTCCTATAGTAACTATTCATTTTTCCATAGCCAAAGGTGTATTTCAGAAAAAGAAAACCAGTATATTTAAAATTATCTTAATGTATGTATTGGTTATATATTTTACACATTTTGTTTACTTAGACTATTGTAAGACCATCCCTCCTATTCCAAAATGAAAACATGCCCAAGAAACAAAAGCGTATTTGCTATTATAGCCTAATAATTTTTGTTTTGAAATTAACTCTAAAATTTGCCCCCTCTAATAAACCTTATGAACTGTTCTGCAATGGTACGACACATGAAAGATCTGAATGTGCAATATTAGTACGTGCAGCACTTCCAGAATGTTTCCGTCTCAATACCACACAGTCGTCTCAGACCTAAATATCTTAGCCAGAAGTCATTACTGGCTGCGACAACGGAACTGCTATTGTTCTCACCTTGTGTGTGTGTTTGTGTGTGAGTGTGTTGTCATGACAAAATGTGGTGCAGGAGACACCTATTGTAGTGGAAACTACCGCAGACAATATGTCCTGAAAATTATATCATGATATTTGTAATGCAGCTTTTAAAATGAGGGAAGGAATAAACACCATTTATGCCATCTCACGATGCGACATCCAAAATCTAAGATGATATATATATATAGTCTCATATCTTGATAACCATATAATATCTTCATATTGCTCAGCCCGACCACAGACGCAGTTTTGAAAACTTTGCCATAAAGTGGGATGCTTTGAAGGAAATCAAACATCACAATATTTTTGACCAGGTGCCCTGATATTGATATTGCAACGATATTGTAGATTTGATCTCTTAATGTGCAATAACTGGTGCAGTTGTTCACCCGTGCAATATTTTTCAGTATATTTATTCAACACACAATGCCCACAACTCTGCATATTTCTTATGTTTATTCTTGTTCTTGTTTTTATTCTATTGATGTATATATTGTAGTAACCATTATAGCATAATGCATATATTATATATCTGAATGTAACACTAGTTTATATAGTGTAATGTAGCACAATGCACATATTTTTATATTTTAACACATTTACAGACTCAGCACAGTGAAGATATATATTTTATTCTTAATATCTGAAGTGTTATACGTTGTAGCATAAAGCACATTTTTTGTCTTTACATTGGAGCGACTGTAATGAGTCACAGTGAAGTATTTCTGATTCTGAGAATATTTATAAGATGAGATTTTTGATAAATACCCCTCAATAATGTGGATATAATGACTGAGTAGGTAAAGGCAAATAATGGAACAGCTGGAACAGTCAGGTAAGCTCAGAAAATGACATCACTTTACTATAATACAGCCTTTAAAACCAGGGCGACATTTACAATGTTACGATATCCAAACTCTAAGATGATATTTAATCTCATATCACAGTATCGATATAATATTTATATATTGTCCAGACCTACTTCGCCCGGTGACACGTACTATGTACCTGAGCGTGGGTTCGAGCAGACAGTCCTGGAAATTAAGAAATGGTGTCCGCTCAGGTGCTCTTTGGGTGCGTTGGACCTGACAGAACTTTTTTGGTACACTCAGATAGATGGCGGCTGATATACAATCGAATGTTTTTATAGAGAAAACATTTATTTATGCTCTTTTTTTTAAAGGATCTTTTCAGTTATTGCAGGATTATTATCGTCACCTTTATCTTTCTCAATATGTTTCGGACTCCTCAGTGAAACGAATCAGTCATTTCCATGTTCTATGATAGCGCATCAGCTATTGAGCCTTTTGAATAGTGAAGACCAGACTTTACGGTGCATGTGAAGGACTCCAATAATATGACACAAATTAATGCTGTGACTTCTCCTTTCTTTAACCTCCTTTATAGGAAGTAGGAAAGAGGACCCCCAGCCACACGCACCCACGCACTCATACCCTTTACGCTCTTGGTCCACAGTCTTTTAACTTCATGGATCACTGTATGGCTGCTGGTGTGATCCCATTGGAGAATTGTCACTAGTATTTCAAATGCAGTCGCTCTAGTTGAAAATATTGTGTTCAGTTTTAGTTCCTTCGTCAACTGCTCGCGCCATTCAGAGACTCTTAACTGCTGAATCTGTAAAAGTGATTCTCTCTTTCAACGCAAGGACACTGACCGTACAACAGCTGTGTGTGGCCGACTAAATGCCAGCTTGTGTGTTTCCAGTTATTGCTGTGCTTAGGTGTGGTCACTTTAACAATCCCCCTCCCAACTTCCTCAGTTGCTGAAACAGATAGCAGAGCTTTCACTCAGTCTATTAATCATCACCCAGGAGACGGATAGAGCCGCTGCGTTATTAAAGGAACAGCCTTGAAAAGTAGTTAAATCATATGGTTTGTTTTTGCTCTCACATGCCTAAATGTCCCCGACCTCCAGGAGAGATAATATGACAAAGTTTATTCAGTTCATCAAAGTTGTGTGATGATCTTTGTCTGCCTATTAATCATCACACTGATGGCAGGATTTGAGTTTTGATGGCAGTTTTTTATCCTCAGGGTTGAACAGTTACGCAGGGGTTGAAAACATTTCTGATAGGTGCTGTTGTGTTTCAGGTGAAGTCTCAACAGGCGGAAGTGATACGAATCCTTGATAGCAAAAAAATCCAGTACGAGCTCATCGACATCTCTGTGGGCGGGGAGCTGCGTGATGAAATGAAGAACAAAGCAGGGAACCCCACGGCGGTCCCACCCCAGCTTTTCAATGAAGACCAGTACTGTGGGGTGAGAAAAGCACACACACTCGACACACTATTTTTGTAGTCATAGGATCATTTGAAATGTTACTGTATTTTTTTACTGGCACTTGAGTCACCAGTATTAGCATGTAACATGTGTATCAGCCTGAATGATGGCTGATAACCAACAAGATGTGTTTATTGTATGGTAATATAGATACTGCTATTGTCAACCAGAGAGCACTCACAGATTTATATTTCAACTGTAACTTAACCTGCTTAGTACATATTTTTCCCACAGTTCTCTAACAACCAAATGTCGAGGGTCTTGTTCAGAAATTACCTTCATACGTTCATGTTAAGAATTAAACAGCACACTGTGTTAGCGACAAACTGAAGCATGGATGGATTACTGAACAGGCCTACCGTGCACAGGCCTAGGGGGTCATTTTGTCACTGGGCCCCTGGCCTTCACTTGCAAAATGTCACTCAAATTAAGATGTACCAAACAGAAAGAGAGTCAAAATGACCCAGAGGAGACACAAAAAGACCACACAGAGATGCGAAGGAACTGCAGAGAGGCACAAATGACCTCAAAAACAGGCAAAACAACCACAAAGAGACACAAAATGATGACAAAAACAGGCAAAACAACTACAATAAGACACAAAATGACCACAAAATCAGGCAAAACAACCATAAAGAGACACAAAATGACAACAAAATCAGGCAAAACAACCACAGAGACACAAAATGACCACTAAAACAGGCAAACAACCACAAAGAGACACAAAATGACAACAAAAACAGGCAAACAACCACAAAGAGACACAAAATGACCACAAAGAGACACAAAATGATCACAAAAACAGGCAAAACAACCACAAAGAGACACAAAATGACAACAAAAACAGGCAAACAACCACAAAGAGACACACAATTACTACAAAGCAACACAAAACGACCACTAAGGACACATAATTACCTCAAGAAGAAACTTAACTACCCCAAAGAGCCCCAAAATGACCACAAAGAGACACAACACACACATCACTCCTGTGGTTTCAGTGTAAAAATGGCAGAAAGGCTTTGACACTTCTAGGACTCAATAGCTGCCTCGTTTGTTTTCTTGTTTGCTTATTGCCTCTCTGTCTCTCCACAGGACTATGAAATGTTTTCCGAGGCGGTGGAAGCAGATACAGTGGACCAATTTCTGAAACTGGCATGAGGAGGGCGGAGTGTGAATTCTCCATCTTAACCCCATTCCCCCAACCACCTACCCCCCCACCTCGTGCCCTGATGGAGGCCCTTTATCCAGTCTCTCTCTGCACCACTGGCAGTATCCACTCACTTTCAATGCCATAATGAAGAATGCCAAATATCCTGTATCTAACTAATCAGAAGACACACATTCCCCATACTGCACCATAAGACTCAGTCTTAATCTGTTTGATTCTGTTTTCTATTCTCTGTTCATTCCTTTTGATTTCTTCCAGACCTGTTCCCCGTCTGACAGACTAGTTTTTCTAAGTGCTCTGAGTCCACTCGGAGTCAGTGGGGTGTCTAAATGTGCGGTAATTAGGTCGACTAATCTTGGCCACGGCCACATGATCTCTGGAGATTAAACTAATCCGCTGGATGACAGCATTCAACCCAGAATCTTCCTGATCCTCTGCAGACCAAACAAACCATCATCACTCAGTCTTAACTACTCTGTCGTCTTTTTTTTGTAGCCTTCAAGTTCCCATGTTGTACATGACTGCACACTATTTGTATTCACATGGGTGCAAATGCACACAGACGTAGCAAGGGCTGTAACGTCCTTAAACCCAATTAATTAGGAGTCATAGATGCCTTTTTGGCACGGACAACTTTTTGTAATTTTGGTCCATTGGTCACTGTACGCAGTAACCCGCTGTAACCACTGACGTCCTGCGCTGAGCTGACCTTAGTCAAGTCAAAAAGTAAATATTAGAAGAATACGTCAAACCCAAATGATCATTTGTGTGTCCAACACTCACCCCGTGGTTCGCTGAATTCGGGAAGAACATTTGTCCTTTCTCTCATGCCTCCACTGTGAATGAAGAATCCAAAAACAGAAAATAATCTTAAAATTCAAAGTAAGAGGCAGACAGGTTGAACAACAGCAGAACTATACCAAAACATCAGTTTACAAACTCACACAACTCCTGCAGTGTAATCAAAGTCTCATTTATACAGTTGTACGCTAAACTTTCCAAACATTTTTGCTGAAAAAGTAAAATCTAAAAAACTTTTGCATGAACAGTGCAAGAGCACGACTCATCAGTCTCTCCCAAACACGGACGAGTATATGGAAGTTTTTTATATATTACATTTTTAGCAAAAAAATACATGTCCTTGAGGTGAATTTTTTTTTCTTCTTCAGGTCTTGACTGTTTCAAAAAAATATTTGAAGTCGTGCATTGTTTACATCCATGTTTACTAGCATGCAGTCTTCTTCCTCTTCCTCTCCTACTCTCTGTGTAGCGGGAAACTGGTGATGGGAGTTTGTATCACCCGTGTGTTCGATACAAACGAAACTGGGAGCCACTTGAACAAACTTTGATCCATAGCGCTGTTAGTGGTCAAATCTTTAAGCAAAGTTTTGGAAATGTCCAACAAAGATAAATGCGGATGATATGTTTGTGAAATATATAGTAAATCAAAAAATAGCCACATAATCTACAAGGTCTTAACAAACACTTGTTGACGGTTGGCCGTCAACCAAAGTCAGGTTGTCGGTAAACATCTGTCGGTCTAGTTTTTGTGGTGTGTCCCGTATCGTTGGCGGCTTTTTGGCAGATTGAGCATGTTGAATCATCTGGATGTAATAGTCCGTGGAGGTGCTGCGGTGCTCGCCTGCACAGATAGGAAACCCCTCGGCTGACAGGACTCTGCTACTTTGTTTATCTCATGAATTCCTCGGACTTCTGGTTTCCATTTTTGCGTTATTTCCACTGGCGCAGAACATACGTGCTACTTGGCCGTCGGATGTAGTCCGTGTAGTGTGTTCAAATGCAACTGACACAGGGCGACGTGAGGCGACGTAGACGACTCAACAGTTGGCTTTCGGCGCCGCTAGTTCTTTGATGTTGGTTGGGTGTGTCTGCACCTTAACATGTCTTTTCTTAAAACTACCTTATAATGCTACTGAAAGAATCAGTCAGAAGTCGTACGTTCACAAATCACACACATTGTGGCTTCACTGGCGTCCAGTCGTAGCTACCGTTTAGTACACAAGTACTTATACATGGTTTGTATTTGATAGGCTGATTCCAGTAATATATGTATTTACATTTTACTATATAGGACACCAAAAGGATTTCCCCATGTATTATCTAGTGCGTAAACATACCTTTATGCGAGGAAACATAATTCATAGGTACAACAATGTCAAAATAAATAAATTGTGAAAAATCCAAAAAGACGGTTTTCATGGCCACGCCCCTGTCAGTGTTTATCATCAGAATAAGTTTAATTTGGAAACCAAAAACTCGCATTAGATCTGTGACAATGGTCACCAATGGGCCAGAGTTAATAAAAAGGTTGGTAATCAGTTAAAGAACTTTCAGTAGTTAGCTGCTTAATGTTAGCACCCAATGGAGCAGGATGAACACATTTCTTAACTTCACATTTGGTGCCAATATATATCTGTAAAGCGCTTTGCAGGTGGATTTTCACTGTAGTATTAGCACTTACCTGCCATCTTCTGTGTTCCCCATAATCTGTATAACTCGGACGCTTTGTTCCTGGCACCGACGGGAGCTCTGTATCGCTGACTGACGGTGCACAAAGATGGCAAACATTTAGAAGGACGCATTTCATATCGATTGTAAACGATTAGACTGAAAAAGATGTGAATCTTTGAGCTTTTCAACCGCGTAGCTTTTCCTTTCTTTTGTTTATTTTGTGTTACAGTATCACTGACTGTCCCGGGCATGAAGATGCAGTAATGTGACTATGCACTGAAACCCTGCCTCACTCTGAACACAGACATGAAGGTCAAAGCTCAGTCTTACTAGCCTTAGGGAACACTCACCACATGGGAAAAATGAAGGCTTCACTTATTTGTGCTTTTATGTTTGTGCATTCATTCAGTTGACTGACTTCAGTTGGAACATAATGCTCATGTTTTGGGTTGTTCATCTTTTTTTTTTTTTAAACGGAGGACAACATGGTTTCTCTCTCCTACTCGTAACATCTGCCCTGCTCTCAACATTGTGTTGTTACAGTTTGGGATCTGTAGTAATGACAGCCTTCACACACAATGTTTGTGCACTGTTTTGTAAGTCAATGGTTGTAGATGTTTGCCTGCTATTGATGTATATTCACTATGAAACATGTTTAAGACATTCCATGTCTCTATCTGAGCTCCTGCTTTGCTTTTGGACCAATTCCCCTTGGCCAAAAAAAGAGAAGAAAATAGGGAATAAAATGCTGTTGTCTTCCAAGAAGATTGTGAAAAGTGATTTATGGGTGAAAAAATAAAATGAAGTTGACTACCTGTCTGGATATATATTTATTTATTCATTAATGGGTTCTGAAAACTTTAAACCAGAGGACATTCAGCCTAAATTAACTCTGGCATGTTAGAAGGTTGATGTAATTTATAACAACAGAAACCCAAAATTAAAATGTGTCATTTTCTATTCATAGTCCTCACATTAATAAGGAATTTTACAGGATAGTGTGGGGACATTAGCTCACCCACAAGAGAGTTGATTCTAATTGGCAAGTCAGTGGAATATTCTCATCACCAGCGCATGATGGCATCTTCCACGGTCTGCCTCACTATATTCATAGCAATGTTGTGTGTGAGCTACATAATTTCACTGAACGATTGTACACAGACTTTTTGTAATGGTGAAATACGACATCAAGTTAGTGTACACAGACCTAGTTTGTTAGACAAAACTTAAATGCATACCAGCTAGTTTTATATGATTGGCTAATAGGAGGTCATTCTTATGAGGCATGTATTTAAATTAACATTCATCAATAATAATCACTAGGAAGTCACAATACATTTGAAGAGCAATACCAATCGTGGTTTTGCTCAGGTGCAGTACCTTATGTGTTCTTTGGGTGGCGCTAATGTGGCATTAGACTTCTACCTTTGCATAAGAAGAAGAAGAAGAAGAAGAAGAAGAAGAAGAAGAAGAAGAAGAAGAAGAAGCCCTACAATAGGAAACAAAAACCGTGATTTCAAAGTAAAAGCAGAACATCATGTGACATTTAACACAACATTGCATATTATTGTAATCTTGTTTTAAAGAATAAGACACAAAAATATAACTCCATTCGTTAATGTACATGCTACTAAAGGGTAATGGGCATGGGCGGATTGTGAGACAATGTGCCCCGGGTACAAAGGTGCAAAAGGTCCCACAACAGACACAGGCTTTATTGTTGTTTTGTGTCTCTATGCATCATCTTGTGATTTTGTGTTTCTGTGTGTTATTTTTGCTGTTGCTCTCTGGATCTTTCTGGTCACTTTTGTCTCTTTGTGGCCATGTTTCGTCTCACTGTAGTCACTTTGTGTCTCTTTGAGGTCATTAGCCTTTTGTAACACCTTGGTCAGAGACTACAGATAATAAAACTGGCCTCTTGGTTAATTCTGGGATTTTTATATGAGGGCCTATCTATTAATTTTGCATGTCATTTCTCAAATAAACTAAACAAAACTTAACATTTGTGTCTTTTTGTCTGTGTTTGTAGTCTCTTTGTGGTCATGTTGTGTCTCTTTGTGGTAGCTTTGTGTCTCTTTAAATTCAGTTTGAGTCACTTAGTGGACAGTACATGTTATTTTGAATGACACTTTACATGTGAATGCGAGGGGAGCCCAGGGCCCTCACCTTGGGCCCCTATTTTAGGTCCCTGGGCCTGTGCCCAATGGACCCATTCAGTGATCCATCCTTTTTAAAGGGTAAACAGAGGAATAGTGTGGGAATGATCCTTTACAATAGCCCAGATAAACACTTTGCCCCACCACACAAGATGATAATATACCACAGTGTAACTATGATTATACCCCCCAAAAAAATATTGTAATGTGGATATGATGTGGTGACCCAGACGGACATATTTATTGCTCAGTTAACATAAGTACAACAGTGAAATTATCTGATGACTCCGAACTACAGGTTATCACAATTTAATGTTGTTTCTCAGTCTTGTGATACTTTTATTTTGAAAGTGGAACCCGGATATTCTATTGTTGATTAGCGTTAGCTTAAGTGTTGTAAAACACTGGTCCAAAGAAGGAAGCTGTATCACTTGACAGGTCTCTGCTAAGGTAACGTGCATATAGGTTTTATTTTAAAGACACCGGTGTGAAAGACAGAGGACTCTCTGAGCTGATATGTGCATTAATAACCTGGTTATTTCAGTCAGAGTTGTTCCTGTGTTACTGTCAGGAGCAGCCAATTCAAAGGCTAGCTAGCTAGCTAGCTAAGCTAAGCTAGCTAACACAACTGTTTTGTTAAGACAGTAACGTTATAGCCTAATTAAAGCTATTTCTCGTGGTGTTAAATTAGCGAGATACAAGCTAACAGCACGAGGACGTGTGTTCTGTGACATGCCAGTTCGTAACATTTGACCACTGCGATAATAAAGCTGTCAGCTGTCACAGTTAGCTGACACTACCTGGTGTTTATGTTAGCACAGACAGCAGCAGGTGATGCTTTGCTTTTAGACAGAGGGAAGGTTGAATTTAGTCTGAAAGTTTTATGTTTCTGTTGGACTACTGAGGAGTCTCTGGGTGCAGCTTTACACTCACTGCATATCAAGGAGCACTTTTTCATTCAAACGTCAGAGGCTTTGAGTACATACACTCACTGGCCACTTTATTAGGTACACCTTGCTAGTACCAGGTTGGCCCCCTTATGCCTTAACTGCCTTAATTCTTGGCGGCATAGATTCAACAAGGTGCTGGAAACATTCCTCAGAGATGTTGGTCCATATTGACATGATGACATCACACAGTCGCTGCAGTACTGGAGTAGTGTCATGTTCAAGAAACCAGTTTGAGATGATGTGAGCTTTGTGACATGGTGCGTTATCCTGCTGGAAGTAGCCATCAGAAGATGGGTACACTGTGGTCATAAAGGGATGGACACGGTCAGCAACAATACTCAGGTAGGCTGTGGTGTTTAAACCATGCTCAGTTGGTACTAAGAAAATCTCCCCCACACCATTACACCACCAGCAGCAGCCTGAAGCGTTGATACAAGGCAGGATGGATCCATGCTTCCATCTGAATGTGGTTTTTCCAATCTTCTATTGTCCAGTTTTGGTGAGAAAACCCGTGTGAATTGTAGCCTCAGTTTCCTGTTGTTAGCTGACAGGAGTGGCACCTGGTGTGGTTTTCTGCTGCTGTAGCCCATCTGCTTCAAGGTTGGACAAGGTGTTGTTGCTTCAGAGATGGTCTTCTGCACACCTTGGTTGGAGCCAGTGCTTATTTGACTTCCTGTTGCCTTTCTATCATCTTGAACCAGTCTGGCCATTCTCCTCTGACCTCTGGCATCGACAAGGCATTTTGGCTCACTGGATAGTTTCTCTTTGTTGGACCATCCTCTGTAAATCCTAGAGATGGTTGTGCTGAAAATCCCAGTAAATACTCAGACCAGCCCGTCTGGCACCAACAACCATGCCACGTTCAAAGTCACTTAAATCACCTTTCTTCCCCATTCCGAATGCAGAATTTGTGCTGTGAACAGTTTTCATTGGAGGCACTGTCTACTGAAGAAATGTAATAAGAGTTAAACAATAAGTTGTAATACTGAGATGCACAGAAGTTATTGCATGTTCATTGATCAAACAAAAAGTAGAATATGATCAGTTCTATGTAAATGTTTTTGTTTTTCTGTCCCCTGAAGCCACATGTGAAGATGAGCGTC